TGGATTACTTGGGTTGTTATCAACATCTGGTGAACATTTCACATAATTAGCACCTCTACTAATATATTTACTGAGAAAAATGGTGACGTGTTCAATACGTATTTTACCCGCTGTATACGACAGGTCTGGACCACACGTGAATTTTGTTTGTGTCTGAAAAAAATCTTAGAATACGAGAAAATTGGTGAATACCACAAATTCTCCTAAATCACTTGTACGCACAACTTAAGAACAAATCTGTACGTACGAACGGTTCTTGCATGACGCTCGCTCATTGTGTCATAGAAATGAAAGATACTGAGTTGATTTTTAAACATCAAGAATCTCTTTTGTTAATAATAATCTGTATTGCCACTTCAAATGTTAGCAGAGAAGCTGCTACTGTTTGTCCTAGTAGACTTACAAGCTATTAACAGGGTTTTATTTACTGAATTTTTCATATACTTTGTGTTAAGACAATCACAGTACATTTAATTCTTATATAATTACATTGTAGCCTGAATTCTAATTAAATGAGGATCCTGATGTTTTTGACCAACTTCATTTAAATAGAATATCATGGTCTTTTCAAATTGCAAATAGCAGCAGCTAATTGTAGCTTATCTAGTACAAAATAGTTCACTTCTAGCAGAAATTGTATAATACTGTCTCAGCATGATTTTTTGATACAAACAAATAAATAGTGTTTTCATGAACCACTATGACATTTTTTTTTTTAGATTGGACTTGTTTTAAGGTGCCACTTTGGTCTCAACCCTGTTTGGACAAAAACTTTCTCATTAGTCTAGTCAGATTTTTTATTTTTTCATATTCATAAAACGAGTCCTTTCAAAGAGCTGTTTACACCAAATAAAATATGAATTGTTCAAAATCTTTGCACAAAACCACACTCCAAAAGATCTGAACTATTGCTTTAAGTCTAAGTCTCCCACATTTGTCTTAGTCAAACCTTCAAACAGAAACAGTGCCATTTTGAACTATACTGTATTTTGATTTTATGAAGCTCTGCAGCGAAGAACGAAACAGTTAGACTGAAACTTCCATAAGTGCACTGAAGATAACTGAAGCTTTTTTTTTGAAGCACAAAAACCTCTGTGACCTTTTATTTTATTTTATTTTGAAAAACCAACAAAAATAGATCTTTTACTGTAAATACAGGTGATGTGTCAGATGTAATTTATGTTTAGAAAGACTAAATCATTTTTTAAATTCTAATTTAATACATTTTTTGTCACTGTTACTCTCTAAATGCCTGTGTAAATGGAAACTCTCTGTTTGATTGTTTGTTTTCCTCTTTTTCTTTTCTTGATCTATAAAACAGATTAAGATCTCTTTTTTATTTTATTTTATTTTTACATTCATACACATGTGATTTATGGCACTGATAATCCAATTTCTGACATCAGAAATGATTTCCTCTGCTCCCAGAACTGTACTTGTTGAACAACATGTCAGTATTGTTGGATTTATTGAACATATCCAACATAAATCAAAGCTGTAAGTGGAGCACTTACAGAAAAAAAAAAAACAATCATTTAGTTCCTGCTTTTAGTGAGTTTCCAGCTCTGTTTCTAAATTTTAATTTTATATTTTTACAAAAAAAAAGTGGGGATGTATTTTTTTATTAATCTGTTGGAAAGTTCTAATGCAGAAAATGTTAAATTATTTATTACCATACATCACATACATGTATATTGATAGCAGCAAAAAATAAAAATAAAAAAACGATTCCCAGAAGACAATAATATACAAATAGTTACTGTAAGATGTTGTTAAAGTGTCCATTTTTGAATTATTTTAGTGTTAATTTTAATTCTGCGTGATGATTTAAGTCGAGCTGCTCTGAAAATGCAGTATTTCCTCACGTTTTATTGGTTTAGTTCTGTTATAATCAGAGAAACATGTTCTGTGATCTGGGCTTAAGTGAAATGCCTTTACGTGTAAACATGACATAATCTTAAAAATGCCTCATTGTTCCATATAAACCCTAGTTTAAAATACAAATTGAAAATAGATTTAGGTAAACATTAGACTATTCTGATCATCCAAACAGTTGATTTTAAGCATGGCCTCTCCTTTGAGCTTACAGCTTAAACTGAACCATTTTAGATGCAAAATGTGGATTATTTTTCTCACTATGTTCCATTGCAGGTGTCCTATTCATGCCTTTTGTCTTTTTTTTTACTGTGTTGACAGTGCTGTATGAAAAGAAATTTACTTTCTCCGTGTTAAATTGTATTTTTTGTTATTAAATTAATATGCTTGTAATGCCTTTGTCCAGCTGAGAATTTCTTCTTGTTTTCCATTTTTCCCACCTGGAAGCCAAAGTTCTTGACCTGCAAAACAAGTAAATGCTGAAGCAAAATTATGAAATTTGAAATGGATTTAATGTAGGCCAGAAGTTGACAAGAAAATTCAGTAGATTAAGCTAACAATTTAGATTTGTTTTTTCTTAAATATACACTTTTGGTCAGTTAACCCATTCAGGGGTGATGGAAAACATCTAGCTGTTAATAATTTAAAGTAACTTTCCAGTTTATCAGAACAAAATGTGTGAAAAATCAATGGGCCGGTTCAGAAAGACATAATTGAAAGCCTCCATGGAAAGGAAAACTTAATCAGCTGACTCAAGCAAATATTTAGGCTTTTCTGGACAAAATGTATTTTTTCTTCAAGATGAGAATTTGGGTAGTATGAAAGTAGTATTTGAGATGGAATGTATTAGTCTTTTGAAGGGGGGTATTATGTATTTAGGCATATAATTCAATTCTAAATCACAATCAAGTTTACCTTCAGTTGTTATGAAATTGCAGAATACATCAAAAATAAATTCAAAATGTCTTGAAATTGTATCTTTAAGAACTTCTTGTCATTTCCAACACTCCCATGCTCTTGGCTGGGAACTGAGGAGGCAGCTCCATGTAGCTACCACAGGAGGTTCGAGGTTTTCTCAAACATGCATAAAAGAGTCAAAGTAACACTCATCATTTTATGTTACCAGTCTTCCTGTTGCATATTAACATCAAACTCAGAAGTGAAATTATCTGCTGATATACACAGCTCTACTTTATTATTTATTTGTTTCTTAGTTGATAATATTGAGTGAGAAAAGCACTGTCACTATTTAATTTATTGAAGCTCACCCTTGGTGGCATTCCTGCTTAAACTCACAATTATCTTCTTACATTTTGATGACTATATAATGTTGCACATTTGTGCACCCATACTAACTTTTAGATTTTTTTATACAGAAGATTGCCACTGGAGTGAATACATTTATTTGTTTTAAGAGTTATGTCAAATGAGATAAGTGTGTTTTGCAGTTATCTTGCATACTGTGCTATTTACAAATGTTTCTCTGCGCCTATTCAACCTTCAGATTATACTTTCTGTGTATCAACTGCATCATATCTGTTCTAAACTCTTGGTCTGTGCCGGTTTCGAGCCGTACAAAACAAACTTTCACTGGAAGATAATTGATATTTTCCCTCTATAAAAATGGACTGTGTAGAGCGCAAGAGTGTGATTTGTCTACAGATGAGGTACACAAACACTAATTCTTTGTAAAAAATGGTATAATGTTTGATTGATGTCTAATGTCTACTCTGAAATAATTTTTGATGTCTTTGATTGTTTTTGAAAGCTACAGTTGTGGTCAAAAGTTTACATACACTTGTAAAAAAACATAATGTTATGGCTGTCTTGAGTTTTCAATAAGTTCTACAACTCTTATTTTTCTGTGATAGAGT